CTATACACATTAGTTTTCTGACTAAATCACCACGTTAGAGAGAATGCATTTCCCCCTTGCTCTTTTTTTCTCTCTTTTTTTCCCTTCAAACCACAATCCATACTCATGCATTACCTTCTTGGATCTGTTTCATCTTGCAATTTTAGTGCAATACCACAACGGTTTGTATGATTTGAGTTAATTTTACACACTTAAACCTGTAATATTTTATTCCATCAGCAACTTCGAACCCGTTACAACCAGAAATGCAAGTAATTATATTCTTAATTTCAGATTTTTCTTTGAACGTTACAAACTACAGATACACAAAAAAACCTTATGGGAATCCACTAAGAATTCAGAAAACAAAAGTAGTGAAAAAATACTTATCCTATTCTCCCTCTCGTTCTGGTAACTAAAGTAAATCTGAGGTTTTGGTTTTTTTTTTTCTTTGTTTATATGTGACCTTTTATTGGGAAATATTTTCGTAGTAAAATGTTCTTTGAATACATTTTCATCTGTAGAAAGTATAAGGTTTTTCTGCTTTGCAAAAAAAAGCTCCCTTTAAACCGTATCTTACTCTAATTCAGTTTGGCAAGAGCAACATCCACGTTCAATCTTAGGACCTCCATCCAACATAATTTAGCTAGACCTTTTCGAAGAGAAGGTTTTCTGGTTTTCATTTTCACCTCATATTCTCAAATAATAGACTCTTTGTTGTCTGCTATTTGATTGGACCTAATGAAAAACACTCCATTTTGACTTAACAGTATTTTCCTTTGAATTTATTATATTTAAGGACACTGTCAAAACCGTGCATTTAATCTCAGCATTTTTTTTTGTACTTAAACCAATATTACTATCATATGGTCTATTGAGGTGCTTTAAAAGAGTATTGAAGAGATGTCAAAAATAAAATAAAAGTGAAAGTCTAGTCTTATTTTAATATGTAACTAAATACTAAGGCTAATGTACAGATTGGAAATGCTATTCTACTTTAAACAGTAACATGTGACAGGGTGCCAACAGCTGAATTGTGCATTATTGACTAAGCTAAGTTCACTGATTTGTATTGGGTCTAACATCTTCTTTAAACAATTCTGTGTAAATTGTGCGTAGAAAGCTATTGGAAGCTATTCCTCTGGACAGCTTTTTCTGGCTTGCTACCTGCAGGAGTTCTGAGACTAATCAATATTAAGAAATAGAGATGAACAAGAAACTTAGAAACTGCAGAGCAGTTAGTGCTGATAAACGCAGATGAAGTCAATATTTGGGAATAACAGAACACTAGGATAATAGACAAAAGGGAAGTGCATATGTTGCAAAGTGTTCAAACAGGGACCAAATGAATGCAAAGTAGCAGATGCTGCCCCAGGCTGCAAAAGACATTATTTATTCCAGGTATTGTTAAATTCCAGATTAATAATATTTGCATGGGCTGCTATTCTCAATATTTAATACAGGCAATTTTATAAGGTCTTAGGACAATTTACAACGGTTCAAACAAAGCTAGCTCTACACTGACAAAGAAAAATAGAGATTATATATATAAAAAAAATAATAATTTGAAAATAACATGCTGAATTCAGCTGTGACACTATTTCATTTTCTACAGTCAATCCCGGTCTAAGTGCAAAGAAGCGATATTAATAAAAAAAATTAAAAAAAAACAACAACAAAAACTAGTACAGTACAAAATTACAATAAACAAAAATCAAGTGCAAAATCAGTTACAAAATAATAAAGAATAAAAACAGTTCATCCCAATTGCAACGCATTGTTTTTTTAAGACAGTGGGAGGAAAGGCCTATTTTATATATCTTCATAAAATAAATTAATAATAATAAAAAAAATCCATATTATTACAATTTGACATAATGTGGATATTATAAAGAAAAAAAAACACTCACAATGTATTTTTTGGCAATTTATTATTGTAACCAGCTTCTTTTTACTGTCAGAAAACGTTTTTTTTTTTGTGTGTTTTTTTTCTCCTTCGGTAGTGATCTTTCAGTTGATGTATTATGACATAGTCTGTCAACAGGAGCAGATATGTGAAAAGGTGACTTGGATATACAGCCAGTTTAGGCCTCATCTTAGATTCTAAGCAGGAAGCCATGTTATAAAGCAAGTATGTACATATTTACAAAGCATTTTCATTTCATTTATTTTTTTTTTTTGTATAAGAAAAACAGGTGCAACATTTCAAGGTTGCAGAACCAGTTTTGAAAAGCCTTTAAAATGCCAGATTAATGTCATTATAAATGTAAAAGAAATAAATGCTGAAACTATAGGCTTTTATTCATTTAAAAAAAAAAAACAACAAAAAAACAGAGCATTTGCTGAATTGCTTACCTAGCATTGAGTTTTTTTTGTTTTTTTTTTCTTAGACATTAGAGCAGCTTCTCTTTCTTTTATTGTCAGATATTTGCTATTGTTTTGTGCTTGGCAGCTGTGCTATATGTAAAATGAGATAATAATGACAGCTTCAGAGGTCAGGCACCGTCATTTTAAAACAAGGCAATACTTGAATATGAAGACGAATATGGCTTATACTCCTACTTAATTGCATTCTCTCGACTTATATTGGCAAATTTCTTATTATTCTGTAATACTGTGTCTTCAATAAAACAATTATTCATGTTTTCTTTTTACTATGGCACTACCCTTAGTATACCACGCTTTTGTTGTACAAAACCCACTTTTTTCCCTTTCCGTTTTAAATATATTAAAAAATTCTGGTTAAATCATATAGGTACTTGGAACCATGAATGGTTAAAGCTATATCATCAATGTGTATTTTTTTTTTTTTTAATTGAATCTTATTCATCATAAAAAAAAAAATAAAAAAATTACTTTAACAGAAAAATAAGCAATTTTGGTTTGGAGACAGAAAAAAGTATTGTATGTTCTTTGCAAATAATTTCCTAATTTTGTGCCACTTGCAGCATTTGTCACAGATATAGACCAAGAAATTGCCTCCATCTCATTCGAGCCCTTGGTTGAATTAAAAACATCTACAGCAAAGAGAGCTGGGTGTAGGGAAAGAATAAATGTAGCTATTTCTTTAGTGATGCACATATATTTCCATACATTTTACATCCTGGGGGAACCTGCAAATGCATTGAATAAATACAAAACTATAAACTATGGCGGAGGATGTAAAAAAAAAAAATACTTCTGTTTAAAGCAAGTGGCTCACAGTTGATTCCATTTAAAGATGAAGGGTTAAATATATTAGCAATTTTTTATGTGTGCAGCATTTAGCTTACGAGAAGAGAGATATAATGGTTAAGAAAATTAATGTGAAAGAACAGATTCCAATAAAATATAATGTGTACCCTAGCTCTCTGAATTATTATTATTAATGTCATCATCACTTATTTATAGAGCACCCACATACTGAACATAAATGTATAATCGAGTCTCAATGCATACAATTTTAAATACATTGATACTATAATAGGGTATTAGGCTGTTTAGAATAGCTTACTATCTAACAAATACATTTAAAACTAAAAAATTATGAATCACAGATAATAACAATAATCTACCTTTTCATTTAGCATTTTTCTCCCCAAGGAAACACCAAGCAGTTTAAGTGTATGCTTTGGTTGTTCACTATGGTGTTGTTTAATAAATGAGTGATCGCATTTATTTACAGAAGTATATAAAAAAACTAAAATTATTAAGATTGGTTAGTTTTTACTTTTAGTATATATATTATTGTAGAGAGAAAGCAGGCAGTATATTTGCTTTTATGCCCTCCCCACACACAAGTATGGCAGTGCAAGGTTCACAGAGCACAGGGATAAAAGTTAAGTAAAATAAACAGTTCTGATGCTTCCCCACAGTGCCCTCTGATGTGCCGTACCATATGTAGCTGTACTGGACATAGTTCTCTAAAGCTGGTGCTGCTCTCATTTATGTGAGTGTTTGTGAGAGCCATCTGAAACATCAACGTTGCAATAATATAAAGGTGCAATAATTCTTAGAGTCACTTTTAAGGTTTATTTTTAATACATTAAATGTATTTATTTATCTAAGTTGAGCGTACAAGCAACATTAGTTATGCAACAATCTATCCTTTTGGAAAAACTATGTGTTATATAGGAGTTTATTGAATAGGTCTTGAATTGCTGTGAATAATTGATGTATGTAAGTGTATTTGATTCTATTGGAGAGGGAAAAACAGCAAACAATGCAATTACCATCAATTTAAATCAGAAAAAATCTGCTGGCAATTATTGTTTATGAAAAATGGCTCTACAAAAAATACTGACATATTTACGCATATACAAGGTATAACAGAAACAACAGCGAGCACCTTACAGAACGCTTTCATCATGCCGAAGTAACTCAGTCTGTGATGCCAAGCACCAAAATATACAAGATAAAAGACTGTATCACCATACTTCACATGAATGTAAGAGAGGTACCAGTCAATCATAAAAAGTGGGAACTACTTCATTGTTGAAGCACCTGCACAACATATGCGCTCTTTAGCTGCTATGTCATCTTATTCTGTCTGAAAGCTACAGCAATGGTTGAGCTGTACATGTAATGTACAAATGCAAAATGTAGGCAGGCTGCCAAAGTAGGTTCAGTGTGCACGTGCTACTAATACCCCAGATACGTATGTTTCACCAGATCTTTTTAAGGTACCTTTTCTACTCTGATCCCTAGCACAGGAGTGACACAGCACACAGAACATACATATGAAAGACCAGACTCTCTAAAGTCATATAAGGCTATATAGCGAAATCAGTCATTAGTAATCACTGATATCCTTATATTTAGTGATTTCCATATATTCAATTAATAATCAGTGATTATTAGCACAACTTTTATAGTTCAAACATATTCAACACCACTTTAAATTTTTTCAGTGAGGATATACAGTTGTAATAATAATAATCACCATTGAATATCAGGTATAGTGATGTCCCGAACGGTTCGCCGAACAGTTCGCCGCGGACGGCGGACATAAACATAAACTTTGACCCTGTACCTCACAGTCAGCAGACACATTCCAGCCAATCAGCAGCAGACCCTCCCTCCCAGACCCTCCCACCTCCTGGACAGCATCCATTTTACATTCATTGTGAAGCTGCATTCTTAGTGAGCTGTCCAGGAAGTGGGAGGGTCTGGGAGGGAGGGTCTGCTGCTAATTGGCTGGAATGTGTCTGCTGATTGTGAGGTACAGGGTCAAAGTTTATGTTTATGTTCGCCGAACCGTTCGGGACATCACTAATCAGGTATATTGTTAACATTTACAGACTTTCGGCTGTTTGTAATGAACAAATCAAACAAAAGCAATTAAAATACCTCAACAAAACAAATGCTTCAAGTGGTTTCCCAACTTTCAACTGAAAATGCTACTTATAATGACTTCTCCAGTCTCCAAATTATTCAGCCCCTTCATGGCAAGCAAACCCCTTCATGGCAAGCATCTTTAGAACTTAGCAGAGCACCCTTTTGCCATTATGATCTGCTGAAAATGAGATGTATAGCCAGACACCAGCTTCTGGCAGCGTTCCTGAGAAATCTTAGCCCATTGCTCATGAGCAATAACCTCCAGTTCAATAATATTCTTGGGTTTGCATGCTATAACTGCCTTCTTCAAATTCCACCAGAGATTTTCTATGGGGTTCAAGTCAAGTGACTGTGATAGCCACTGTAGAATTTTCCAGGACTTCTTTTGTAACCAAGCCTTGGTGGAATTTGAGGTATAATTGGGATTATTGTCTTGTTGGAAGGTCTAATGATGTCTGAGCTTCAGCATCCTCACAGATGGCATGAGGTTTCCTCCAGGATTTTCTAATACTTTAATGAATCCATCTTGCCTTCTACATACTGCAGGTTTCCAGTGCCAGAGGATGCAAAGCAGCCCTGTAGCATCACTGAGCCACCACCATGCTTAACTGTAGACAGAGTGTTCTCTTCACCATATGCCTCATTCTTCTTCCTCCAGGCATAACGCTGATCCAATGGGCCAAAAAGTTTTGGTTTTGTTTCATCGCTCCAGAACAGAATCCCCAAACTTCTGTAGCTTCTTTATATGATTTTGAGCATATTGGAGCCAACTTTTCTTGTGCTTTTTGGTCAGTAGTGGTGTACGTCTTGGAGTTCTGGCATGGAAACCTTCTGCGTATAGTACGCGCCTTGCTCACTGAAACCTCAGTGCCCGTTGCCACCAAGTATTGCTGTAGGTCTTTTGCAGTCACTTTAAGTTTTTTTTACAACCTGCCTTCTCATAAATCTGGTTGCAGCCATTAATAGCTTCCTTTTTCTGCTCCGCCCAGGTAGTGTAACCACTCAAATTTGAACTTGCAAACTAAGTGTCCAATGGTGTCTCTAGGACAGTCAGTATCTTGGCTATCATTTTGTATCCTGCTCCTTGATTGTGAAGGGGGTTATGTCTTCTCTTAAATTCTGTGGACCATTCTTTTGATTGCCATATTTCTAACACGTAGTCAAATGTGACACTCAACAAACCCTAGCCAGTTCAGGTATTTCAAGTGTTCCAGCTCAAGCACACCTGGTGCAACTAATGAAGCCCTTGATTAGTTGCATTTGGTATGCATGAGACAACACCTTTTGCATATTTGTGCTGCTGTGAGGGATTCTATTTATGGGGTTGAATAATTTTGAGACCGGAGAAGTCATTTTAAGTTGCATTTTCAGTTGAATTTGTGAAAACCACTTGATTCATTTGTTGTGTTGCGCTATTTCAGTTGCTTTTGTTTGATATGTGCATTACAAACAGCTAAAGGTCTGTTTATGTTGCAATAAACCTGTTAATTGATAAACAAATTAAAGTTAACAAACACAATAGATAAATGAGTCCTCTTGAAATTAGCATACAATCTAAATTTACTTAAACCCCATTTCATGGGGAATGAAGACTGACATAAATGTTTTCGCACCAGGACACTTCCAGTCATTTGAGTGCATTTTATTAAGAATGTCACAGCACAGTTCCTCCAGACTCATGGCTTATGTGCTGACAGCTCTCAAGGCCAGAACTGAAAAGTACATACATTTTCCGCAGCCCCCACAGGAGTGATATGAATGTAATGATATGTATATATATGTATATGTGTATGCAGTGGTGAAACTAATATAGAGAGGGCCCTGGTGCGAGAACATTTTTGCCCCCCCTGTAGTGCAAGGGTGGGGAAAAGGTAGCTCCTCATCTTCTGTACAACTCCAACAATGCTATGTCAGTTGAGGATCTACCATTTGCTTATGGGGTTGTATTTGTGAGCAGTGTTTGAATGTGTAAGCATATTTTTGTTTAGCATATATGTATGCATGTAGGGGTGTATTTGTATGTACTATTGCCATTGGAATGCAGTTGTGTATTTGTGTGTAGTGTTTGTATTTGAATGCAGGAATATGTTTGTATGTAGTGTTGACTTTTAAAAGCAGGTGTGCTTTTGTGTGTAGTGCTGGTTTTTGATTGAAGGGGTGCTTGTATATAATTTTAGTGTATTAATACAGGGGAGTGTTTGGAACCTATGATTGCGTTTAATTGCAGGGGTGTGTTTGGATGTAAAGTTGTCTTTTAAATGTGAATTTACATTTGTGTGTAGTCTTGGTGTTTGGATGAAAGGGTGTGTTTGTATATAATTTTGGAGTTTGAATGTAGTGGTGTGTTTGCATGTTATTTTGGTGTTTAATTGTTTGGATGCATGAATATACACACATATAGTGCCACATACCTTCGTACACAGATATACTTACACCTTAACACAGACACTTACATATAAACACACTGACACATACACACACTGACACATGAAAATATCCTGACACACAGGTACACACACTGACATATATACACACAAAGAGATGCACACCCTGACACACACATATACACATACACACATGCACACACCCTGACATATGCACACAAATGCACATATACTGACACATACACACACTGACAAACACACATATAGACACACATACTGACACATGCACACATTGACACACAGATACACACAGACCCATATACTGACACATGCACATACTGACACATGCACACACTGACACACATGCACACACACACAAACAGACACACATACTGACACATGCACAGACTGGCACACAGATACACACACATGGGCACAGATACTGATACACGCACACACTGACACACTGATACAAATATATACACACGCACACATTGACAAATGCACACACTGACACACAGGTAGACACTATTTACTTGTAAGAGATTCAGCACTCTTCCTGCATAGTATAGGTGCAAGGTCCACTTTTTTTGTGGAATAAAATTTACCCCAGCCATGAGCAGGTACCAAGCAAGCCACCCACCTGTTAACATACTGTTAGTGTTCAGGAGGGTGGCTTGCTTCGGGCCTGCTGCTGGCTTGGTTGCTTGGGGCCTGCTGCTTCCTGGAAGATATCACAGGGGCCTGGTTGTGCTCTTAAAGGGCTGCAGAACCTGACCAGGACAGTGTTTAGCAATAAGAAAATAATAATACCCCTATGTGCATCGGCCACCCGATGGGCCCCCAAGGCGTGCGAGTCTGTACAGCCACACCGGCTGCACTGGCGGTAGTTCCGCTGCTGTGTGAATTTGTATATGCTGTGAACCCCCATTACTTTCTAAATTGGAATTACTACTACACTATCTGGTGGTCTGTGATACCCATTTAAGGATTATGGAAAATACTGCCATATTCAAAGTTGAGGCATTCAATTGATAAAATACTTCCACTTTGTAGTAGAGGGCTAGTTTATGTGTTAATTATGCTCTATACTGTTGTGAACTAATACTACAGCTTGTAAAGGTATTATATTCTGTTTTGTGACCTCCAACTATAGGACATTTTTGTAACCTGTGTGGGAACACATGTGGAGCACAGGTACAATGAAGTATGAAGACTGTAAATCTGATTTAGATGTCTTGATCTCACCACTAAAACCGTAATAACATTTCTATCACCATATCAGGATAGTTTCAACCCAGGATAGTTTGCTATGTGTGATGACTTATAGCTCTTAACTTTAGATGTGGATCTTACGCTAGAGGAATAAGAACAAGCAACACTGCGAGCCTTGCAGACAAGGAAACCAAGATCAGGGTCATACAAGAACACTTCACATGAAAGTGTTTTACATATACCTTCCATACTTTCTTAGACTCTGTTATATCCTGCAGATACCTATCTTAAATATTTCCCCAACTAAACACCATGATGCTGTACTACATTTAAGATGCAAGTATCAACACTTCTTAAAAGTGTACATTTAAAACTTTGCACGTGCTCTACCTTGCCTAATCACATTTTTGTCCTCCACTCACACTTTTGCACCATTCCTGGTTAAAAGTCTGTGCCCTCTATCATGTTTGGTTTCTGCCTCAATTAATTCTTACACTCATAGCAGTCCACATATCATACCCAAAATATACCCTACTGGTCAAGCAGTCTGTGTATGGTCGTATTGGTATTAACTGCTTCAGTCCATCAGTAGTAAATATTACTGCTTGAAAAATCCGACAAAGCAGCAGCTCAACCAGAACTAACTATAATGTGGTCCGCAATGCAGGGAACCCACACTGACAATGAAAAGCGAGCTTCACACTGAGAAGAATCTGTAAAAGATGCGTGACAATGGTAAAATAGAAGCATATAGTTCAACAAAATGCATTGCACAAGTATTAACACTTCAATGACATTTAGAAAGCACTTCTTTTTTGGTCTTTTGCTAATAGCACCGGTGGTCACTTTAATGCATAATCTGTAAGGCACTTCAGGGGTCCTGAAAGCCCTAGACACCCTTACATACCTTATACATCAAAAAGGTTAATAAAAACAAATGCTGGCTGTGTGCTTTTTTATTCTTCCTAAAGTTTTGCAAAAGTAAAAAAAAATAAAAAAATCATACATTTATGAAGCTAACAAAGCTAATGGCAATTTTTTTACTTGGAATTGGACATTCTTGTTTTACAATAATATACCTAGAGCAGTATTGTCTACTTGGCAGATCACCAGGCCTCGGCTTGCTACCCATAGCAAACTTGGTTTTCTTCAATTACTTTTCCTTATTATTTATGTTTTTGCTGTTTGTTTGTGGCGGCTGACTAGTCTCACATTGTGCACAATATATGTCTAAGGCGCCTCTTTTGGATCTGTCGGTCTTGCTCTAATGCTGTT